CTTGAGAGTGGCTTAGCGTCAGCTTGGCAGAATTTCGTAGGCGCCCCGCCCCTTCATCTTTGGCTCGAGTGGGAGGGCAAGACGCCGAGGCGAGCACGGAGCTTGAAGCCTGTCGAGTGTTTTGCAGCTCTAGATACTATTGCGAGGTACAGTCACAGTGCTGTAACGCACATGCAGAGTGATCTCACCAACACTGGCCGCGACGAGGCCTGTCCAAACGAAAACTTGCAATCTTCTCAGCCACCCTGCTCTGTCTGTTGAATGGCATGCAGAGCAGGATATCCGTCGGCTTGGTTGCGATCATTGATTTGGTGTCCCTCCCCTCGTGTCGATCGTGGTCGCTGCATCAATCGGACTTACGAATCATCGAACTGTGAATCCTTATACTGTACAGCTAGTAGTACAGTAGATCGCAGCTGCTCTCCGCAAGCAGATCTCGTACTAGCGCGTTTTCACCCTCGCTTATCTCTCGGCCGCTTTGCAGGGTCCCTTGGAGGCTCGAGAGCATTCTTGCGGCGCTTGTTGCTCTGGGCCACGTGCCTGCTACCCTTCTCTCGGCAGTGCCGCTCGCCGCTGAAGAGGCCAAGTAGGGAGCCAAATGCTGCATTCGTCGTGGTCCACGGTCTATTCATCCCTGCTTGTCGTCATGCGGTCTCGTCTCGGGTAGTTACGTGCCGTGTAATTATAAGAATCTCACACCCGCACCCGCACTCACGACTGCGCATGTAGTGCACGCGCGCGCGGGCAATGCCAAGCTTTGCGCTCACATGACGGCGGAAAGCCACACCCGTCAAGACACCGCTGCTACCAAGTGTCAATGATTGGCAAGCACGGCGGCGAAGACAGACAGACCGACCATGCTGCTGGTGATGAGCTGGTCAGGCGACATGCAATAAGCGCTCGTGTCTGCAGTATAGTTCCGCGTCAAGCTACGATGTGTGCTGCGATTAAAGCTGCGCTGCCGTCAATTGAGATCCGACAACAATCATGATGCGGAAGGCAAGCAACGGAAAGGTGAGCCTGCAGATGGCGTAAAGCGCTGTAGGTACATGTACAGTCACGAGCACAGTGAGTAGCAGGTTGCATTCATGATCCCGGCGCCATTACGAGCGACAACTTGCTCATTTGGATCTTGTCCAGCATGCAGCTGCTAAAACTTGTGTGGTTTTTCTGTCTTGCTACTCCCCTCCCCTTGCTGGCTTCAGCCCAATCACACTTTTCCAATTCCTTCTTGCGCAAGTCTGAGCCACTGTACGCAAGCCAAGTGTCAGCGGTGACATGTTATTCTACAGTTAAGCAGACTCATCGCGATAGGCCCACGACTACATGCGAGATCTGCCTCAGGAGCCAAGCGTAGCTGTGCATGCGACTTCAATGACTGCTCATCGTTCCCGAACAGCGTTTCACCTGTTCAGAAGAGCCCTATATACGTGCGCAAACGTCATCCTACGGCGACTTGGTGGGCATGCATGCAGAGCTGATGACGGCTGCTCGACTACTCATTTGACTGAAGCTGCAGACAGCTGCATCAAAAAGGATGCTGGTCTGATGCATGCATGCATGCATGCTGCACCAATCACGAGTCACACTTTGTGGAGAGATGCGAGGCAGCGAGACGCGGATACCCTCGCCGGACACGGCGATTCGCGTGCTAAAAGCTGCGGTATTTCGTGCCTCTTTTGGCGGGGTAACGCAGCAGACGATCGTAATTCGAGTCGGAGTGCTCATGCTGCATGGGCTGACCACGCAGCTCGGCTGTACCGCCGACACGCACCTCGATCGCAGCAGTGTACCTGGTCTGCTATCGGTTCTGCTTCTGCCTCTGCTTTTGCCCCTGCCTCTCCTCCTCCACACGTAAAAAAAAATAGCTTGTCTCTACGCCGTGGCATGACCGAACGCACGCATCTTTGCAATCCCGATCAAGGATGCCGCGGTTTGAGAGTCCGATCAAGACGCATTTATTGGTCTGGAGCGTGCAGAAGAGCGGCACTTGACACTTGCAGCGAGCAGCGAGCGGCTGCAGCTTCCGGACGCAGCAAGAACGGGAGACTGACTTGTCCAAGCGTGGCATGGCGTTCAAGGTCTTGGCTAGTCGTTGAGCCGGAGCGTGAGTCCGCAGAGCAGATTTTGATCGATTGCTTGGCCAATCATGACTGTAGACAGACGTCTGGAGGTCGTATAAGGGTAGCATCAAGGAAAGTTGCCTCTTCATCCTCTCCCCTTCACCCACCTCCTTCTATCTCTGCATACTTGACCGAACAAGACTCCCCTTCGAGGAGCGAAGCGGATCGCGCACATCCATCCATCGATCTAGCAAACAAACTCTTCAAAGTACGCAAGCGTCCATCATGCTGCACGCTGTTGTGCCCATTGGCGGCGCGGCCTTTGTCCACCCGTCCATATCTTCTCCAACGAGCGCATCAGACTGTTTCACCTCACCCACCAGTCTTTCCTCCTCCTCCTCCTCTTCACACGATGGATGGGTCAACGATCAAGCGCTTCGAACACCAGAGCAAGAACGAGAAGCGAAGGTATACGCAGCATCCGTCCTGGCCCACACGCGCGCAATGTGGCAAGCAGAGAGGGACAACATCGAAAGGGCAAAGTTGGATCGCGGAAGCAGATCTCCTCCCACTGGTGGTTTGAGCAGTCCTTTAGCCAAAATTTCTCCACTGCCAGCTGCCTCGGCCGCTCCGCAAGTCAAACCTCCCGCACCTGCTGCCAAATCTAGACACGCTAGGGCCAAGAGCGAGGGCGCGGGGCTGGGACTCTTTAGAAGTCTCACCACTGGACGTTCGAGACACAATCAAAGAGCTTGATCTTGTGAGTAGTGTGCTCTCCATCCGCACATACAACTGCGTTCTCCGGGCGTTCGGAAAGTACACCGCCAAGCATATCAATACGATGCTGACCCGGGTTTGGCATTTTGCCAATGACCAGGACCATACCTTCAACTCGACCCTCGCACCCACGCCAACATTGTTTCTTCTTGCTTCTTTTGAGATTGACAGCCTCACATGGTCAAGTCGAATCGTTCCAGATATCTCCTCACATTTGTAACTGTAACCTCTACCATCGTCATTAGCGTCATTCCGCTTTTCTCTCTTACTGTACACGTGCTTTCAATACAGACAGACCAGTGCCACCCAAGAACCACGCTTCCTGGATTAAAGTCTCCCGAGCTGAAGCATCCATCCCATGATCAGCCAGCCAGTCAAGAGTGTGATACTGTATAAATTCCAGCCACAAACGAAGCTGTCCCCGTCGAAACTCTGAGTGTGCACATAGTCCAAGGGCCTTCTGTATGTGGTCCACCGCGCGTTGCATGCGGCGACTGCAAGACGCGAACGTTTGATGTGAGAGGGAGGACATGGCAGAGAGAAGCTTTTCGCGCGCTAGCAATTGACAGCAATCCGTGCAAAGATCTCAGCACCCACCACCAACACGCGAAAGGGAGGTAGCACCCGGGCGAGCGGGCAACAACTGCAGATACAAGTTTCGTGTGCGAAACAGCAGAGCGGCGAAGACGCAAGACCAATCTCATGGAATGTCGGGCCACAACGACGGGGTCAATCTCCCGTCAAGTCTGCACCTATTCCCAGAAACCCAAACCGCATGCGGTCAAGCATCGAAATGGCAACAAGACGGCGAGAATGACCCCTCCCCTCCTACAAGCGGGAATGATGTTCGTAAAATTGGCTCTTGCCCCCTCATTCCGTTCGAGAAGAACGCAAACGAGGAGTGTTGAATATCTCCCGCTAGTTTAGGTGCACGTGTCACGAGGTATAAAAGACGCGCGACCAGATAAGAACGGGATTTCGAACGAGTCGTCACAGCTCGGGCCTGCGCTTCGCTGGGGCGCCTTGACGAGCCTCGTTCCGCCAAGGAGGGGCAGTCATGCTACAACCCTGTCAAGTCTCGCAACGAACCTCCGAGTGCAGTATGCAGTACGTCGGACGACGCCCAGACTTACATCTACCAAAGCCGAGCCGCGTGCCCGCACGCGCTCTAGCCGCCAGATACGCCCATCATCGGCTGATTGTCGATCATCACCCGTCTCACGCTCGAGCTTTCTGGCTTTTGCTATATGATTGCGTCAGGTGACGCCATTGTGACGAGGTCGCACTCGTGTGCTTCCATAGCCGAGGTGTTACAGTATCGCACCGAAGCGTCCTCTCGTCGGACCAACTCCGGACGCGAAGGCCGGACGAGCTGAGGTCTGATACGTCAGCTTGTCGGCTTTGTCATGGTGTGAAGAGCTTGCGTGCTTGGGGCAATACGGAAAGAAGGCTTTGAGGCTGAAACGATTTGCATTCGAGGTCTGCAAATCTTAGACTGTTACCATGGAACAAGGTCTGAAGTCAGCGCTCCGTTTGTGATAACTTTAGACTGTCAATGTATTCAGAAACGGCGAGGGGATGCTCACCGCGAGAGGGGTACAGCATGACGCGAACCACAGCGCCGAACGCCTTGGGAGGAATGTTGGAGCGGAACTTGGCCCTGACAACGCCAGAGTTGCCGTGAGGCCTGGTAACGCGACCCCAGATAACGCGAACCTTGGAGCCTCTGACCTCCTTGTGCGCTCTGTAGACGTACGCAACTCGCTGTGGAGTAAGATGGGCATGGATTGTCAATTGGAGCTCGAAGCTAGTGGCACAGAAAAGATGCGAGCGCAAATCCCGAGCTCGCCCCTTCTCCACAGTTGGTTTCGGGCAGGTCCAAACGACAGAAGCACCATGTGGCTGGCGCTCCTACGCACGTGTCTCTCTTTTGCTGGGTCCCTCCGTTCAATCTACCAATCGATGAAATCCCTGCCAACGACCAACCACCAGTTGCAACAACGAGTGCTAGCTGGAATCTACAGCCAGCACCGCTTCGCAGAGCTTCCATTTCGCCTAGAACTCACCTTGCCCAAGTAGAACTGAGCCTCCTTCTGGTCCGCAACGCCCTCGAGCTTGACGAGAGATGTGTGCTCACTGGCAACGTTCTTGCCGCGCTTGTGACCCAAAATACGGCCCTTGGTGTAAAGACGAGTCTGTGGATAAAGACGCGGGAATTGCATGCGTAAGCAAGTGGTTCGAGACCCCGTGGTACACAGACCAGAGCGAGAGCGAGCAGATATTTCCAAGTCTGACTCCATCTCGATGGTAGCATCGTGAGCTAGGGCGTCTACACTTCTCATCATCCCTATCCATGCAGCGCCCTACGCCCTCATCGCCGCATCGTCCTGGCGCGTCCATGGATAGAAATACGGCTGAAAGTGCCAACGGAGCTGCGCATGCTGCTTGCACCCGCTCGTCGCTGACGCCTCTCCACTCCGTGCCCAGACCACCGTCTTTGATTCTCGCGAATGATGCTCACCATCTTGAAGAAATTGTCTGAGAGGCCGAGATGTTGATAGCTTTGTGGTCGTGAATGAGGTAGTGGGTGGCCGTGAGCAGTGCCAGAAGCCTGGATTCGGCTCGACTCGATGCGTGATTTCTGGACTGCACAGCTGCGGGCGCGCATAGGTCATGAGAGCCACGTGGGTGACCTGTTCTTCCGATGGCAGATGTGCGTTACGCGTATGCGCCCCACTCCACGTTGAGGACTACACGGCAACTGCATGCAGCCACGTGGTCGAGAAAATTGACACAGCCTTACGTTCATCTTCATCTCGATGTGCTTACTTGTCGTGATCTAGTGGCTCCAACGCTGCGTCCCGGTCTGCATGCGTGGTGTCGCACAAGCGACCTTCATTCAGGTTGTGGCCAGCGCCTCTGCTCTGAAGAGCGTTCCATCCAGCACTATATTGCTCGACAGCCATCAGCTACTTTCTCCAATTGTACCACCGCTGCACCACTCCCGTTCGCCACATCTTCTCGGGGTCAGAATGCCCTACGCGCGCAAAAGATCCCATCATGGCCGTCGAGGTGAGCGGATCGCGCTCCTATGCGGCCTACTTGCCCAGCCGGACACTGCGACTGACTTAATTTCCCCTCCTGCCTCCTGGAACTGCTCAGACATTCAAAGAGCCATGCGCACTCGTGCGCGCAAGCTAGATGCCGATCAAATCAGCGACAATTTGCGCTCGAGCGAGAAGACGGCAGCTTTGCTGAATCCGAGCAATTTGGATGTGGACAAACCTGGTCTCGGATTGTTCTACTGCATCCAATGCGATCGTCATTTCCCTACCGACAAAGATCGAGAATCGCATCTCGCAAGTAAACTGCACAAACGCAGCGCCAAGAGGGCGGCGGAAGAGGCGCACACGGTCGCAGCGACCGGGCTGTCAGTCGGAGTGGGAGTAGACAACAAACAACGCTCGGCTCCTTCGGTGAAGGCGTCTGTCCAAACCGACCAAATGGCGACGTAAAACCAGACAAGGAACAACCTGGGCTCACCTGATAGAGCAGCGCAGGCAAGCCTTCCGTTGAGGCTGACGTCTAATGCTAACGCGTCTCGGTGCCCCCAGCAAGGCCAGCTTTGGTCTAGAGGCGAAAGTGAATCTTTTGGACTTTGAGAGACGGCTTTCGCCTCCTAGCCGGCCCCACAAGCGCTTGGCTGGTATTCGTGATCTTCTAGAACAGACGCGCGCTTTGGCCTCGTCGCAGTTGCATGCGACGCACGGCCCCCCACTTGGCATTAGCCTCATCCTCCCGATTACTCACTCGGACGTGCAATCTGCTCGCGGTCAGGAGGTGGTACACGCGATGCCCAGCTTGTTGAGGTCCACTTGATCAAGATGCGATTGCGACCCGATGGCATCATTCCGCATAAGTGCGCACGGCTCGCCGCTCGGATCCCGACGCTGGGTGCATTTCAAAGTACGAGCCTCTGGTCCGAAGAACACTCTGGTTCCAGAAAGCTTTCCATTCGCCCACTCCCTTGCCTTTGCGGTTCTGATTGTATGTCAAGGATGCTTCACTTCGCCGCCAGTATGGCCCACGGTTACATAAGAAGGACCGCTCCCAACTCTCACCCTCCGCAATCACGTCATGCTATTTCGCGCGCTCTCTTCTTCCGACTGGTCATTCTCAGCCCTGGCTAGCAGCGCGTCCCTGCTTATGATCCGAGTCACCACGTCAGAAGGGAAATTGAAGCGATCTTGGATCGTGTGCAAGTGGCCCTGGCCAACCTGTTCTTGGCTGCTCGAAGTCATAGGAAGTTCGCCACCGACATGAGCGTGTTTAGCCCTTCAATGGGTGTGCGCTCCACGCCTTCTGGCCGCCATATTGTATCACCAGCTAGCAGAGTTCAGCGTTCGGACTCGTTTGATGAGGCGGCAAGTGACATGGACGCGCCCTGTCATCAGCGTGACCACAACAACAAGGACCGGCGTGAGACGATACGACGAGCGCTCGCGTTCGTTCGACACCAGCTTCCTTCGCGAGAGGGTACTGGTCACCACGATATCCGTGAAGACGTGGGTGCAGATAATCGGCGCTGGGGTATCTCAGACTCCTGCCCTCCTATGTCGAAGCGATTCCCCCGCTCCGACGCTCCCCTTTCTTTACAAACGGCAAGATTTGCATCCGACGACAACCTTTTGGGCAAGAAACGCACTTCCTTTCACCGCAGTCTTCTGCCAGATGCGGCGTGCGACATGAAAGATAGGCCTCTTCGACGGTTCCCTGTTAGGTCCACCTCTGCACAGTCGTTGCAAACGGGCGTTGGATCTTTCGGTAAACGGGCTCGCCCTCACACCTCTGACGGAGGAAACGAGTCGCCACAGAAGATAGTATTCAAGAAATCCCCTGCGAGCGACGTGTCGCAAATCTCTTCCAGCCCAACACTTAGCCCTGACACAGCTTCATCCGCCAGCTCCACGATGTACTCCAGCTTATCCACATCCGCAACAACACTGATTGGCTCAACGGCTCGTCAAGGTGATACGAAAGAATGCTCGGAATCGAAGGACCTCGGCCTAGGCATCACCACTGCCCCTTCCGGCCTTGCTCCCGTCAGACATGAGCACTGTGGATATTCTATTAACCTCTGGCGAGACGGTACGTGGGGCGAAGCCCCCCATTCGAAACTCGTCTTGGCTCGCGATGTCCCACTAGTGTCAAGTGGTTGCCTCTTGACTGATGCCGCAGCACTTGATGGTGATCACACTCTTGTAACGTGCCTGGAAAAAGATCGGACGGCGCGTGCTCAGCAGCTCGGCAAAGTAGACGGTTGGCACGAAGAGCCTGTCGGACTGACACCGCCACCTTCCACGAAGAGACCGAACGTCGAGTCAAAGCTGAATGGAAATGTAACCAGTCGACCATCCCGACGCATGTCTCCCAGCATTGAGGAAGATGACACATCAAGACCACAGACGAGCGAGCTTCAAACGTCGCGCTTGCCTGCTCTGGCACCCTCCACAACACACAGCTCTGTGAGGCCGCTTGCTGCAGGCGATTGCGCCGCAGAAGATGAGCCATCGATTTTGGAGGCCCGGAGGTCTCGAAGCGCCGGCCGATCTTGCAACGGCTCCATATCGGAGCGCATGAAATCGTCGAGCGAAGCTCGAAGGTCGCGCAAGGCCGACCAAAGTAGCCACACGTCATCATTTACTGTGAGGCCCATGAGCCCAGCTCTGCCAAAGGGTGCGAAGGAGCACGCTGCGATCGAAGGGGAAGAGTACCCGCCAGTGCGTCAACTGGAGCTTGCGGCTCTCCTGCGCAATGTGAGCCTTACCTCTGGGCGCCGAGAACGTCTGACAAATTGCGCTAATGCTCCGTCCTGTCGATAGTATAATCTGCTTATTGACGAGGCAGCGGACCTGATTACGAAAGCTGCAACGAGGTCTATCAATTCGGAAAGCCCACGTGATCCACCTTTTGCTCACAAGGCAACGAGGTCTCGAGCTCCAAAGGACCTTGGCAGCCTTTTCAAGCAGGACATTCCCGTGTGCGACCGGCACAAGCTTTTGAAGGTGCGTTTGGCGTCGTGATCTTTCAGTGACATGGGTCTGGCGCTGACTGCGAAAACCGTCCGATAGACCGGGGTTTTGCACCTCTGTCACACCACCTTACTCCCAGTATCTTTGCAATGGGCGAAAGGACGGCCATCGCAACCTGACCAACGCGGCAGAAGTCCAGTGCCTCCAGTGGAGGCTTGCAGTGAGTCTGAAATTTGGCAATGCGCGCGACTCAAGGTCAGGACTGACACCACAAGACGCGGTTGTCCTGGACGTACTAGGTCTGCTAGCGGAAGCAAGCACGAGACCAAACGCGACGGCCGCGACAATACCACAACAGCAAAAAGCCGTCTCGTCCGTGCGACTAATCACAAGCCTCTTTCTGGACATTGCGACCCTTTGTTGCTGGTGCGGGCTGGCATCGCAGCCGTCTAGTGCAGCTCAATTGTGAGTCGCCGAGGTCCTGGAGCTTGCAATTGTACCCGCTAACATGCAATGCGGCCCTCCTCTCAGCACCACAGTAGGCTTTGGCCGGGCCAAGGCGGCGACTGCATTCTTAGACAGTTGCTTGGATCACTGCCAGTTCTATGAAAGTCCTGTGTCATTCATAGTTGTTGCGAACTCCGACCCGACGTCGGATACCGAAAAGCAAGGCGCGAGTGAAGGCATCTCGGATACTTCGGCCCAACTATGCCGTTCTCTGGGCTTGCAAGTCGTCAACAACGACGAGAACAACACTGTTCTCAAGTCAGACAACATCGAAGTCCAGGCCGTGCTTTCGGGAGGAGGCCTTGAAACGGATCGAGAACGGCTTGAAGAGCTCAGCACGGATGCGATCGAACTCGCGGACGCCCCCAAGATCATAGCTGCTGCTGACATGCTGAACCATTGACCGAGAACGTGTTGCTCAGCACTTCTTTTGCGCCAAGTGAGGTCACGCAAAACAACAGTGTGTTCATCCGCCCCCTCACGCTCCTTCTCTCTCTTCGAGCCCTCTTCATGAAGCGACCACCCACTGTAGAGTAGCTGTTGTCCAGCTCCACGAAATGAGAGCAATCCGAAGCTTAGGTATCCTGCATAGTCGAGTCATACATCCTCTTAAATTCGAGTCATTTGAATCGGACCCATGGAAGTGGGCTCCGCTATCTGCTAGGTGATTGGCGAGCCAATGCGTTGTGTTGTCCACCGACCACGCCCTCGTCGACACGAAGCTCGGATTAAGAAAAGTTGGGAGTGTGCCTATGGCACTTGTCTCGCTTCGTCGTGACTGGCATGGAAATGATCGTCTTGCGCAAGCGCGCGTGATCCTGAATAGACAAGATGCCGCGTCGACGCAAGGCCGCACTCAACTTTGATCTTCGCCGTGTGTGCCGCGGTCTATGCTGGCAGCTGCAGAGTTTCTGACCAGATCTCGTGAGCACGTCAGACTGCTCCTGCGCCATGCGGAGAGGTGCATATACTCATCATACTACTGCGCGCGACGCAGCTGCTGAGAGTCGTGAGTCGTGCTGAGTGCCTGATGATGCCATGCCATGCATGCATGCAGCCTCGCCTGACTTTGTGGTGCTGCTCCGCGCTAAGATTAAAAATTGGCTGTGCCTTTTCTTGTTCATTTCAGACGGCTCACGTGCCCAGAAAATTTCAGTCTTCCTGCTGCATGGGACAAATTTTATTGCAGAATCACGAACGAAGGCGGCGCGAGCCCGCGCGTAGGCTTAATGGATGAAGCGCTCAGCACAAGCTAGCGTTTGGGAGCGCGGAGCGCAAGCCAGTCAGCGCACGACTTGCCGCCGCGTTTGGACTCATTGACTTGGACGGCAGGAAGTTCAGCCAAATTCTGAATGAATGAAGCGCGAGCACCTTCTCGCCTGCCTGCCCGCCTGCCTGCCCGTCCGTCCACCCATCCACTGTGAATGCAAAGGGGTCCAGTCTCCACCACCTTCTCGGCAATCCGCCGCACGCACCGTCACCATTGCACACTGCGTCCGACCCACTCAGCTGTGCCACCAACAAACGCTTCACATAGCAAATCAGCCGCATACAAACAAATATCATCGCTTGGTGCTCCAGTCGCATCACCTTCGAAGAGTCTGCGCCGCCACACAAGGTCTGCTCCCTATTCGCAAGGGCCTGTCTCAGGGCAAGCTCTGATTCAATTCCAAAAGCAGAACATGTACTACTCCCGCAACATCCACACGCCTCAATTTCCAGACCTGTCGCCCCGCTGCGACCTTCACACCCTTCCAACAAAGAGTCACGCCTGCTCCACAGCCAAATTGGTCGACACTAAAGCCAATCTCCACAGGACTGAGGTCCGTCAACCCTTTCATAGCAAACAAAGCTATCGAAGCCATCGAGGCTACGCCATAACGTCCTTCATCTCGCCGTAGATAAGCATTCATGTCTCGTTACTCAAGCCAAAACAGATGTGAGTGACTCACAGCATGTAGGTGCAAATGGGTGCCACCAAGACGGCAGATCCCGTGTTGGCAGCCCCAATGGCTCTTCCACTTCTGCTACATTTACCTGGCTTTTGATTCACCCAGGCTGACGTAGTGCATTTGCTCCACACATTTTTTACCCTCCATTGCACTCACAGCCATTTCCGGTAGGCTCCCACATTCTCCCCTTCCTGCAAGCAGAATAAGTTCAGGGGCAAGTACGCCTATCCTAAAAGGGGCGCGTACCAGCACACGAGGCAGCTCGCACCCATCTCAACAGCGCAGCACTCGCGCACCGCTGTCTGGGAGCCCCAACTTCTCCTCGTTCAATACGGACGAGTGCACCAGCTCCGACGACGACGACTCTGGAGGCTCAAGATACAGCCCTCGATCAGCTCGGTCTCAGAAACGATTTGCGGGCGTCAGGTTGGGTGTTCCGGAAGACGCCTTGCCGAAGATGAGCGCAAAGCGTGAAGGCAAGTTGCGAAGCGTGAGCAGTAGTCGCAACGATAGCAGGGATGCACACACGATGAAGCGCTCTGCGGATAGACGGGGCCGCAAGCGCACCGCGGAACGCAAGGCTTCCGTCCGCAAGGAGGATTATCAGGCCGAGCTTGGTTCGGACACTGATTTGACGGATGTGCCAAGTGAGAGGGAGGATTCCAATGGTGCATCTATTTCCGTTGCGGGCGCGAGAAGATCGCGGACCCCCGCCGGCTCGGGAGGCGCAGAGAAGCAGTCCGACACTGACTCTGAGTCCGACACCGAATCCGTCATGGCCGCTAAGCTCAGGGCAGCAGGCGATGGCGACTCGCTGTTGGGCTCTGGCGAGTCTGACACCGAGCGAGGCATGAACACCGACGAAGAAGAGCAGTACATCATCCAACGAGCTCTGCGAAAGGAGGCTCACAAAAGACACATGCAAGCCCAGCGCGGAAGCACACGCTCGCTCGACCGCAGGAACAGCGTCGGGATGAACAGCAGAGGCACGTCCGGCTTGCCTGGCCCTCATCAGAGTGTTCATCTCAGCGGGGGGCGACAAGGACGAGCCAGCACGATAGACGGAGACGATGAGGAGTCGCAGCATAGAGCCCGTCGACACCATTCGATGTCGCCCGACACCATGCGGTCGTTGGGAATCGACGAGGTTACGGATGAGCTGTTCGAGCCGCAAGAGGTGTTTGGATCGTCATCTGAACCTTCCTTCACCGACTTCTTCGCTTCCGACACCGGCAGCGACAGTGATCACAGCGTGGGTATCCACCTCAGCCCGCACGAGGACGACGATGAGCTAACGGATGACAATGAGAGCGACATTCATCTCGGTGATCTTAGCGAGCCGGACGGCTCCGTCCGTGATCCGACGCTCTTTGCACAGATTGGCGACGCGGATGCTATGGCGTTGCTCGATGCGCAAGCGGATGCTGCATCGAACGCCGTCGGGAACACGCAAGTCCCGCTGGCCTCAAAGTCCACTGTCCCGGCAGCAGCAAGCGCATCTCAGATGGTGCCGCTACTGGTTATTGAAGACCTCGATGGTAGGCTGATTTACGCGCGAGCAGGCGATGGAGAGGCTGTCTTTGGCTCAGACGGCGAGTTCGAATTCGCGAACGACAGCGACAGCTACGACTCGACCGACGACGACGACGATTTAGAGGGTGTCTCCGCGAGCGGGCGCGATGATTGGCGGCGGTGGCAAGAGGAGGCTAGTCAAGTTTACGACGACTCTGGTGACACCACCGACGAGCTTGGAGACGAGGAAATGCCTTTCCCGCGTCTGCTCGTCGGTTCGGTCGCTCCTCGAGGGGGTCGGAATACGAGACGCGCGCGCGCGATCGCCGCTGCAAAGTCCCGGCGAATCTCTTCTGCGACTGCGACTGCGACTGCTACACCTGCAGCTCGCTCTTCAAATAGCCCCATGCAGTGCAACAGTCTGCAACGGGCTGCGACCGCCGTGACATCCTCAGGACAAGCGATTTTTACAGATCAGTCGGCTGATAGCGAAGGCGTGGGTATAAGCAATCCATTTGAGCTCGACTTCTCGATGTCTCTTTCGGAACTGGCGCGCGATCCGCAGGCTGCGATCGCAGCAGCTGCAGACGCCTTGGGCATCTCGCACGAAGAAGCGGCGAACATTCTCGCCAGTGTCGACCTTTCCCTCCTCACAGGCAATCAGACGCATGTGGCAGAAGCTAGCGAAGCTCCGAGCCCCGCATCACAGCACGCGGCACTGCCTTCAGCCGTTTCGTCGCTGCCCACCACCCCTCTAAGGCAGTCTGACACTCTCCCCGCTATGGGGTCGTTCATGCCCACGTCTGCAAAAGGCGTAAATCGAGCAGTACTGAACGGCTCAAACCAAGCCCCTTCGCCATTCACTTCGAGGCGTGGGTTGCAAAAGCGGGGCTTGGCTGCAGGGAGTAGGAAAAGGACACACCGTCGGGGGTCGGACCTCAATCCACCGTACTCGGTGAAGCGTTCGCGACGCCAGTCCTCCACCGCGACAGGCGAGAGCAGCTCAAACATGCTGCCTTCAGAGTCACCTACATCGGAAGGGAGTGCGACTGCGCCTGTCGATCCTGTAGAGCTGGACGACGTAGTGGATGCGGCCATGCTTTGGCGGAGCAGCGACGCGTCATCGGACGCTTCAGATGATGATAGCGGTGGGGGAGCGACGGAGAACGGAGACAATGACGCCATGAGCGCCTCGGGCGCGGACATGCAGGCATCAACCGCCACGCTGAGACCGCGGTCTGTCAGCCGCGCCTCTGCTTCCACTGCGACTTCAGGAGTGTCGAGCTCAGTCATGGATACAGGCCATCTTGATGTCAATTTGAACGCAATCACACGTTGGCACCGCATCCCTATGGGCGCTTTCCGGGATGGCCAGGGCGTATCTGCAAACAATGGTCGTCAGCACTTAGGCGCCTTTCTCTTGACGCGTTCGTCTCGTCAGATCGGTCGCAGCCCTGCTAACAATTCATCTCGTGCCAACAACAACGAGCACTCGCCTTTCCGCAGTATCAACGAAGGCGCGACTATCCACATGGGAGCAGCGCCACGCTACGCTACACAGCTTGCCAGCCCTTCAGCAATGGCCGTGGACGCGGCGGACCCAGACGGTGCGCAGGAGAGAAGACGGCAAGCGTTCTTTGTATCGCCTATATTGTGGCCCGTCAGATCAACCGAGGGCGCCAACAGCTCGCAGAGTGCGGCGGCAAATGGCGTCGTGAGCGCCTCACAACTAGCTGAAGTTCCTCCTTTTGAGCTGTCAGCCTCGCGCGGCAAGGTCACGCGCCGGGAGAAACGACAGAGAAAGGCACGCAGAGCTCGAGAAGCAGCTGCAGAGACGGTTTCTGTAGCCACGCGGGAGAGCAGCGCGGCTACGGAGACAACCTACGTCAACGCTGTCGCACTGCCTGCTACACCCATGGTGGAGGAAGAAAACCTAGCGGAGTCACCCGCGAAGGCAATGCCCAGACTGCGCATTTCTGATGCTAGTCCTCGCGGCTCACCTGCTCCTTCTACATTACGGGCAGGTCCTTTGCAAGCGGGGCCGCTGGGCAGGCACGGAGATGGGTCGGAGCTCGGCAAACGCAGCTCCTCCATGCGGGTCAGCGAGCCGGCACCGCCGCCGACTCTGGGCCAAATGTCTACAGTACCCAGTAATGGCTTGACGCCCGTGTTCGGAGCGTCCACCGTACCAAGCTCCGGCACTTCTTCTTCGAATCAGCCTAACCATGCCACAGTCCCATCTTCTGCTGCTGGACTGCCCATCTACTCTCCGCTCTTTGGCGGCATGGTCTCTCCAGTGACCATGGCTTTCCAAGACGACATGGGCGAACATGGCTCAAACGATGAGCCGAGACCCCTTGCGATCTGAGCGGCGTCGCTCGAGCTGGATGCATTCATCGATTCCTAGAGCCGCATCCGAATGTCGCCGTTCAATCAAATCACGCACCAGTTTTTGAAATGTCTATCCCTCCCGCTCTTACTTCCAAGTACATACGACACGCTTTCAAACGAACTGTAGTCATATCCTGCATTGGCTCGACCAAGTTTCCCTTCCCCCCCCCTCCCAAGCAAAATATCTTCGCAATCATGATAATTGACTCTTAGTCATGCTAGCATGCTGTTGTAGGTCGTTTCGTGTCTTTTCCCAGTGGCTCGGCCTATCAAAGTGGGGCCTGCGGACGAGTCGGATTAGCTGGGTCAAGGCAAGATTCAGCTTCGACTGCGTCGCTCTGGCTAGAAAGTAGCAGCAGCAGCAGCTCTTGCGCGCGTTGCAATCTTTCGGCGAGCAGCGTCAACTCTGCACGACGCTTGCGTATCATCTCGTCGAGACCTTGCGCAGCTGCAAAA